TTATTTTTTCAGAGTTTTTGTTTTCTGCTGATGATAATTAGTGCCAGGTTAATTGACATAACCTTCTGGCTAGTTGTCAGTTCTCATCCACCTTTACACACAAAAAAACCAAAACTAGTTTATCCCATCAAAAGATCTGCAACATATAAAACACCAATAATATTCTGTATCACCAAACCACATCAAAACAACATAACAACTTACCAGATTGGGAGAGCACGTAATCAATGCCCTGCGCAGGTTCCAGTAATCACAATACACAAAAACCTATCACAATAAAACAACAAACATCTGGAATGTATTCCAATTACCTCACTATAACACTACAACACAACCATATTACATAATAGCAATCACAAAAATCACCTGATCAAACCCATTGAGTTATATGTGGCTTGCGAGATGCCATCATCCGATTGAAATATCTATTTGCATTCAGGAACTACATTTAACAAAAGTTTCAATATTTTTTTAATACCTCTTCTTTTCTATCTTTTTTTCTTTCATTAAATGGCGATCTTGCCCCAAATGTTTTCTTATTTTTTATTTTTCCTAGTAGATAGTTCCTTTCCTTTTTTGTCTGCTCAAGGTTTTTTGGAAATATATCTACTACAATAGGTGGTAGACCGATATGTATAGCCATATATCTCATATCTTAATATTGATCATGTAACATTACATATTTACTCTATCAATAAAGATTATGAGAAGTGTCTCACCTTAACAAAAAAAAAAAAAAAGATCAATAATATATTTAATACTTATTTTTTACTATTACCTGATATATTTTTCTGCATTATAAAAAATTTAAAACTTATTTTTAAAAAAATTTTTATCAAAAAACCATAATTAATTTACTTCAATTAACTAATCAATATTTTAAACTTAACCAATCAAATTGATACAATCAAAATATTATATATTAATTAATATAAACAAAATCTTTTTAGTAACAATAATCAAAATAAAATTATATTATTAACAAACAAACCAATCACTAACCATATTAACATAATAACAATACAATTGTTATAATCAATTAACTATTAAAGAAATATTTCATCAATATTATTGTATATTTTGAACAATAATTTGATCATTTTTAATAAGTACACATAACATTGCATTTTAATTAAATAAAACTATCAAAGTGACACATCTAGTAATTTATTTGAAATATCTTTAGCTCTACAATTAATTTTTTTTATATTTATCTTTTTGTTTAGTATTTTTTCTTTTTTTAAATTTTTACTTTTTATGATTTTTTTATATATAAATTTGAGTAGATATTTATAGCTGCTTGGTATTATATTTGACATATATTAATTTAATTAATTTTATTTCTTTGCAACTTAAATAATTTATTATAGGCAAGCTAATATTAAACTTACTGATTAATTGGTCATATAAGAGATATTATTATTTCTTTATATAATAATTTTTTAATTTTACAATTATAATAAAGCAATAATATTTACCTATTTTTTTTTAATGTATAACTTGTTATATATAAAATAATATTTACAGTATATACTTAAAAAAAATTTTTTTTAATATAAGAAAATCTCAAATAATTAAAATAAAAAGTATAATAAATAATTAATAGTATTTCAAGTATTAATAAAAAATGGCTTGTATAGGCTTAACAACTTTAATATTTATTTATTTATTTATTTATTTATTTTATTTTTTTTTTTTTAAAGTTCAGATAAGCTTACCCTAAATTTTATTAGATTTGTTTTTTGAAACGTACATATATACAAGTTTTTACAAATTGGTTCAATTTAGGATTCACCCACAGATATACCATCCGAGTGCGTTTTTTAACCCTACGTTTTTCTGTTACATCTTTCAGCCTTTAATCTGTAAACCTCCTCCAGTTAGCTCCAGTCACTTTTTGTGAATTATCCATCAGGGTATTGTATCTTTTATCACCATACACATCATATGGTAGCTGATGGGATCTGTGGCCAATGGTTCAATACCTTTAAACTGCAGTTATTTCTTTTTAACCAATAGTTGACGATCCTAGTTCTTTTTAGGTAATACCCAGCTTTAAGCATAAGCTGCTTATTTAAGAGGGCACAACACCTCCAAAGTTAGGTTAAGTCTTAAGGGGAATCTTCTATTCTGGCAATTGTTACCAACTAAGTACCTTCACTATAGATAAGAATAGTGGGTATTGCTGGCAAGTCGTCACTCATTGCGGAAGGGGGGAACGTGTTGAACGCTGCTGAAACTGGTTTCCAGTTTGTGGCTCTCCATATATTTCTTTTATAGTCTCATGGACTATAGGGGAAGTAAAACGGTCTATTGTGAAACTGGGAATTACACCAAACTTGACAATGATCATCATAACACCAACTGGACAATCGTTACACCACAACACCTTTTCTGGAAATTACAATCTCAATGCTCGCTGGATCAGCATATGAAGCGGCTTCACATGAAAAACAGCACATAACAGGTTATGATGCCAGATACCATATTGTTCTATTCAATCGCCTTCACTTGGGATTGAACCGGTATCTTGTGATTTGACCTGTGAAGTGTTAACCACTATACTATAGACCCACAGGTTCATTTATTTGATATTACTTAACAATTTTAATAATTTAATCAATAATTTTTAACAAATTCAATATATAATTAAAATTTTAAAATTAAGTTAAGATAGACAAAATTTTTAAAAAATAAAAAAGAAACTTATAACTTAATAAAATTTGATAAATTTCAACTTTAAATTGTTTATATTAAGAAAAAAATAGTATTTTTTTTAAAAAAATTTTTAAAGTAAAATAACACTTTGATTAGAAGACAAAAAGAAATTAGAAAACTTGGAAATAATAAAAAGCCTTCTACTTTATCCAGTATAATGTTTTAATGAAAGTTTATAGGCTATATTAAATAAAAACATGAAAGTAACTATTGAAAATTACTTTGAAATGGCGGTTCAAGAATTAACAAAAGTAATGTTCCAAAATATAAATACTGTATATAATCTATACTTGTTATAAATTTCAAATACTTCTTTGATTGTTAATAAAATCTTCTGTAATACTTGTTACATTTTATTTCAAAAACAATTTATTAATATTGTATGATATTATTAAAGTAAAATTGTTTGAATTATGTTTATTTATTTATAAAATAAAAAATATAATTTTATAATATACAGTTTAACGAGATTTTTGAAAATTTAAACCTAAGATGATGATCTTTTTCAATTCAAAAATTCGTGACGCGATGAATATCATAACATTTAATGTACTCAGAATGTTGAAGACCCCCCCAAAAAAAATAATACAAAAAGAAAGAATAAAATTTATCTACTATAAATAATCCTCACCAAAAGAAATAATGTAATTTTAATTTAAGTAAAAAAAAAAAGCGCTTAACATACAGAGATAATATAATACAAGAATTTAAATCGCTAAGCTTTCAAAGAATTAATCTGTCCATTTCTCTTAGCTGACCACTGATTTACCCTTTCAATAAATGGGTCAATAAATTTCTTATCTCCTGGGTTAGCTATAGTAATTAAGTGATTATAGGTTGCCAATAGCTATATATGTAACATATTAGAAATATATGTAAGTTTATAACGAAAACGCATAAATTCATAAAGATCTAAAAAAAATTACCTGATTCCTCAATTGATCCTGATATTTCACTTCTCCAAATCCAGTATTAGTCAAGTTATCAACATTTTCAATACTTGACACAATAGCATGCAAAATTTTGCAAAGTATAGTAACATCTCCATATTTTTCACGAGTCATTGGAGTGGCTAACGCTAAACATGCATTGATCCTGACCTTAAAGTTTTTTGAGTTTTGTACTACCCTGGCCAAAGATTCATACAACTGCGTGGACCAACTGTTATTTTTAGAGCCGATGGGAAAATTTGGGTTGCGTAGCATGTTTGCAGCCGCGTAACAAGCATTCCAGCGAACCTACATAAAAGGATAAGAATTATAGGATGGACACATTTCAAACGAGTGAAATTTTAAAGAAGCATACTTTCAATGAACCATTTTCGAAATTTTTGATTAAAACTTGCACAACTTCTTTGATCAGTCCTCTTTCTTCTCTAACAAGGAAATTTGTAGGACTAACATGAATTATACTACCCAGAGTTCTGACGCCATTAGGTCTAACCTGAAAAAATAAATTTTTTAGTCAAAGAATAAACATTATAAAATAGTAAACCAATTATATGGATTCTACCTTGTCGTTATCATTTGAGGCATTCAATCCTGCCTTAACGATTCTTGCCCACATAACGTTTATCAAAAATTCGTTCAAATTAGTATTTCTAACATTAGAATTCTCTGGGTTACTGTTATGACATAAAAATATAAGTCATTTGTAAAATAAATGTTCAAAGGGAAGAAATGTTCATGTATAAGTCGAGCTTGCCTCAGTATAACCATCGTATCACACAAGTTTCCTAAAGCCCAACTACTTCTAACCCTGACTAACAAAGTCGAATCGGACATTTGTTCAATAGCCGAATATACCATGTTTGTGGCGAATTTGGTATCCTTTTTATGATAAGTTATAAAGAATAACATCAACACCTGAAGACTCTCGAGATTTATTCTCTTATTTTTTTTAAAAAAAATCCAAATACGTACTTGTTGTAACTCGGGAAACAAAATATAAACTCCAAGACCGCGGCATGCAGCCGCCCTAACATTTGCATTTGCATCTTTGGTGAATCCAAGTAGAGTTTTTATACAAAAGTTCTTTTTGTCACTCTAAATAATTAATTGATAGAATATAAGTGCACAATTAATTAAATTGAAAGGTGTGACATAGTCTACTTACAGGTAATGATGCAAATATGTTTGCTGGAATAAATGATATAAAGTCGCTGGATAAAGCTCTTACGGCGTGGCATGTATCGGCGGTGGTTATTTGAATATGATCGGATAGAACAGTATTCCACCATTGAAAAACTTCTGGCATAACAACATTTTGAAATTGCTGAATCTTTAATTGTAGAATAGAGTTATAAAATATTTTTTTGTCGATTATAACGAGATTTAACAAAATTCAATACCACAACTCCATCTTCTTCAGAATCATTTTGTCGACTTCCACATGCGGCAGCCAATTCTCTGGCATACTCAACCAGAAAATTTATCGAGGCCGTTCTGATACTAGCATCTTCAGCTTTAAGATCTTTCTCAATAAGAGGAGTAATTTGAAGCCACATGGGACTTAAATGTATTTCAAATAATATGAGAAATTATTCGAGAGAAGAAAAATCTTAAGTTTTAATTCGACATTACCTCACATTCACAAAATGAGATCTAGTACATGCGCACAAAACGCTCCATGCCTCGATCCTGATTGATGTTGTTTGACTGACGTTACCAATTAACTTCACAAGGAAAGTTAGAATATTAATAACTTCAAAACTTTGACCATAATTTTGTTTGACACGTATTGGACCATCGCTGATAATTGTCGCTCGCAAAAGGTTATCAACTTCTTCAACACACGATTTGCATTCCACAATACTTGATATCAATGTCATTGTTATTATTTTGACATTAACATCTAATTAAAAAAATTGTAATTATTTTAATGTATCTAATAGACCTAGATAAATGTACCAGATTTACTAACCATCATTATTGAGGAACCTCACTATCGCATAATAAAGACGGGACAAATATCCTCCTGACAATCTCTCATAAGTAGTATTATTGACGAGAACGTTGCAGCACTGTAAGAAAATGGTTATTAGAAACATCATTTTATTAGAACTTTATAGAACTAACAAAACAAAACAAACCTTCAATAGATAAATCAAGATATTGCTCTGGTTTTCTTTGGCAAGTATTTGTAGCAAACCAGCATGAAGTTCCCTTACAATAGCACCCAGTTTAGCAGATAGTGAGGTGAATGAAGATTTGATTTCCCTAAATTTTTAAAATTCGAGTCAATAGTTAACGTGTCGCATTCTAACGATGTAAAAAAATAAACAAGGTTTAACACAAACCTGTCATCGGCTGCCGCTAAATATTGTTTCGAACCATCAATCATTGCAGTTATAGCAGAACATGCAGCAATGCGAATTGCTAGCGTGTTCTCGTATAAAATTAGCGTGAGCAATGAAGGTGCCGTTGATAAAGAAGCATGCGTGTCAGGGAGAAAATTATTCCAGTAAGGATACAGTAGCTTGGCTGAAGACTATGCGGATATATTAAAATTTAGTGAAAAAGAGTTGCATTTAGCATAAGTGAATGATCACAAAAAAACTATTCTGTTCATACTTTTGCAATGCTTTGAAGACATCCCAAAGCATTTTGTCTGATCCTGGAATCTTCATGTCTATTGAAATTTGAGATTTTATGAGTTTGAAGATAATTTATATCGTCACTTGATATAACCAAAATCTACCTTTTACGACTGTGTGTAAATTCCCCATCAGATAATTCAGAATCGGAACTTATCCACGTGCGCCCAAGTGATCTGGTACGAACGTGTCGACTATAGGTTGGCGATGCAGGATTACTATTTTTTCTCATATTACCGCCTGATATTAACATATCTATGATGTTTGTACACATTATTAGAATTAATAAAATGTAATATAACTAAACAGAACAGAATAATACCTGAATTTTGCGCCGATTTCTTCAATTCATCTACGTTAAAAAATATACATCTTTTGATGGCCTCGATAGTAGGCCGAAAAGGTTCTGCCAACACACTCTTATCTTCATTTATTATTAACTGTAGAGATCTGAGTGCACAACTAATGACCTAAGAGTGTAGAATAGTGTATTTGTAAAAAATCTCAGAAAATTATACCCATATATATATATATTAATTCGAAAATCCCAGACTACCTTTAATAATGCGCTATCATCTCTTCTGATCTCTTGCACGGATAGGTTCTCCAAAAGGACTCCATAGATATCTTTATATTTCCCTTGTAATTTAGTGCCACTACGAAAACATAAATTTCCTAGACAATTGATAGCCATACGTCTAATTTCATAATTGAGATTATCACATCCTGCGACCGGAAGAAGCGTTTTTAAGATTTTCCCGTGAAGCTATGGTAGAAGAAGTATATGATTTAAGAAAAAAATCAATTGAAGTAATTTGACTCGAGAATATAAGTTGCGAACCTTTTGACAATTAGCCCCATTTTCCAGTAACACTTGACTTAATGCTCTCAATATGTCTACAACATAGATTGATTGAGTAGCTTTGGTAAACGCGTCAAGCAGAAAGTTGACTAAAAGATCCAATGGAATTTGGTTGCCATTAACTTTCCCGTTAAGATTTACCTTGTTATTAATAGATAAATTGGTTAGACGTAATCCGAGTATAAATTAATTTATTCATTGAAAGATGTAGCTCAAATACCATATGTTTGCTACAAAAAGTAAATATAACTCTGCTAAATTTTGAAGCAACGTGTTCTTCTCCAGGATTAATAGCCTGACACCCAGCTACTAGTAAATCTACCAGATCATGTTCGAAGGTATTGCTTGTATTTAAATTTGTCGAAATTAAAACTTCAAGGATTTCATTTATGTCTGGTATGTCGTCATTTCCTGGTAATGAATTGGAGTTTGATGTATCACTGTTGGGATTATTTGAAGTAGGGTTATTTCGACTACGTAGAGTTGAAGGGTAATTGGCGCGAAGAACTTTCCGAGATATGTCATTAAATGAATATATAGGGTGAATTACTTGAATATACTGAGAAGAACGAGTATTTTTGGGGGCGTTTGTGGGGGCCTTAGGTAGGTTTGTCGTAATTGTCATTTTATCCAATTCTTAGTGACAAGTTATTACAGACCAAAGATTATCTCCTTTAAAAGAAAGGATGATCGCCCAGTTTCTATACTCCATCCCCAAATTTTATATAACCAAAAATAGAAAGAAGAACAATGGTTGTGTTATCGATGACATAGTTTCCAAATATGATGCATATAATAACGGCTCACAACACAATTGTTTTTAGTGCGTTTTTATTTTACAAGTCAAAATGCTTTATTTTTTTTAAAAAAAAAATTTAAATTTAAATATTATATACAATAGTTTAAATACGTAATTAATTAATATTAATAGTAGTTAATATAATATTCATACAATTTTTAAGAAATCCACTATTTAGATAACATTTTTATAAAACCTAGCTAGGAAAAATAATAGAAACTATTATAATAGATATAATAAAAAATCAAATAATTAAAGTAAAAGAAAAAATAATATTATAATAATTATTTTTTATTTTTTTAAGAAATGCTAATATAATAGGTAGTATTAATTTGCATTTAGGATAGCAATAACCTACTTTGTAAAGATACTTGATGTACTGACTAAAACAAATGTTTAATAAATGTTGCGCATCTAATGCCCTTAGCCAATTTAAAAAAAAAAAAAAAAAAAAAAAAAAAAAAAAAAAAAAAACAAGCTAACTTTATATATTTATTCTATCACATGCGCGACTTTCGCTGGTGACACAGACATCACCAGTGTAAAAGTTTTTAGTTTCTTTGTGATACATATAGAATTACCATAATAGTCCAATACTGATTCATGACGTAGCTGCGGATGGGTATAAAAATAAAAGCAAAGAAAAAATTTTTTTTTCTTAATTGTGATCAGAATTATTATTTATAAGTACTATGTATAAAGAAAGAGGTCTCAACCTCACTAATGTCTTAGTGTCTGAGGAGGGTCTAACCGTGACCTATTCAGACGGACATCCCTCTCGTTGGCCAAGTAAGATAACTCCAGTTCCCGATCCAGAAACCGGCGATGTCATATATTATCGACCTATTTCCCAAAATGAACAAAAGACTGAATTATATCTGAGTAAAGTTGGTCAAGCTCTCGCTAAAGCTTTAAAAGAAACCCAAGATATAGAAGTTCCAAAATGTATATAGTTCATTTTTTACATATTTGCTTTATCTTACGGCGAAGTCTAACGGCTGTGTAATTTCCCTCATGTTCATTCAAGCCGTCTTAACCTCTCTACCTCATGGGTATGCATTATTTGAGCATATTAAAATCTATGCGCATAAGGAAGAGCCAAGAAAGGATACATACTTGTTCGGTATGGATTTACATAAAATGGCAGTTTCGAATTGAATAGTGTACGCAATAATTTTTAATGATTTACTAGGGAGTAGTATTTCAAGGTTTCGTTCTCCTCATGAATTCGAAGAACACCTATTATGGATGGCATCTGATAAGGCAAATCGGTGCATATGCAAATATTGTAGTCCTTTCGGATATGAACCATCACCACGGAAACAAAAAAATATCAACACAAATTCAATCAACACAAGTTCAATCAACTCTTATAGAAATGCTAAATCTGGATCGGGTGGAAAATCTCTTGCTTCTAGGATCGTCACTGTTTCTGAGGGGTATAGCTCTTCTTACGTGACTCGGGGAATTACACTCGAATCAGAAACGAAAAATGCTTCTAGTTCTGGTTCATTGGGAAGCGTAGATAATAACAGCATCGACAATAGGTTCAGACGTGGTGAGGTGGTATGGGTTAACATTGAGTCTGCCTTAAATTTAGTTCAGCAGCGACAATTAGTTATCCAAGTTGGAGATGACCGTATAAAGTATTGGCCAGCCGCTGTGGTGGATCGCAAGAAGGCACCATATGTAAGTGATCCTTCGGTACGGATTCCGCAAGAGTCGATAACTCTATATCACCTGCAGGTGTTGTTAATTGGTGATGTCATGGACTTGCGACAAAAAGCTATTCTACCGTGGCATATACTTGATCCTGATGAAATTATTCACGATTTTGAGAAAGTAAAGTATACCGCACGGGATGAATTAGTAGTCAAGTTTGTTAAAGCAGTAACTAACGCAATACGAGTAGTGACAACTTACACACCATTGATGGAGTATAGACTTCCACCTTCCTTCGTAAACTCTGCTGCAGATGAGAGGCAAAGGAGTTATTATCGACGATTGCAATCTTTTCTCCATTACAAAACAATGTTTTTAGGTCCCGAATCATTGAAAATCAACGATCTTATCCGTATCAAACGTCCTGACGAAAAAGATCCCAGGGTAAGGGAGAAACAACCTGTTTTTCGACTTAAAAGAATCTACGCCGACGAGAACGAATGTCTAAAAATGATCGGTGACATATATATAAAAATGCCTAAAGATGATGGCGGTGTGAAGCTAGTCAAGATGAATCCGGATTATGATATTGATATTGCACAGATAGCCGGTCGATGTTACACACTTTACCCCGCCGTCAAGTGTAACACTAGAGTCAAAGAACAGATGGGGTTAAACCAAAGAATATCGATTCTGAAAAAAGGACATTCACCTTCATTAGAAGTCCAGCAAGGGCAAACAGATGAACATGTGCTCCCAATTAGCGATAACTCAATTCCGCAAAGGCAAACAGATGAACTTGTGCACTCATTTAGTGATAACTCAATTCCGCAAAGGCAAACAAATGAACTTGTGCATCCATTTAGTGATAATTCAATTCCGCAAACAGATGAACACATGCCCCAACTTAGCAATAATTCAAGTTCGCAAAGGCAAAGCCAACAAGAAAACACGGATAATTATGATTGTTATGATCATTACGATCTAATGGACACTACACCTATCTTTATTAAAAAGGAGGAGATAGAAGATGTGAAAATCATTACGTCTTTGGTCACGGTCAAGGAAGAGAATACTGATGACATGATGGATTTAAAATAAAGCAATGGCAAATTAGCCAATAGATATGATTCCTTGCATAATTTCTTTCTTAGCCTTTTGCATTCCTAATTAATCTAATTTCATTTCTTTCGTTATGTTTACATGTTAATATATAATTCTAAATCTTTACCGGAATATATTAAGAATTTGCATAAATTTTCGATCAATTGAAGGCTGAGTGGTGGTAGTTCGCATACAATGTATTGTGGTAAAGAATCGAGTACATATTTAATTAAATTAGAAATTGAAAGACACTAATTACGTTAGCGTTGATGGCGGAATACTTAATGAAAGTTATAATTTCTCAGTTATTAAATTTAGTGAAATGGTATCAGGTTACTCTGCGTGAGGCAAAACCTTCCAAAAAGTAAATTCTATAACTTGTTGTCAACTGGATTCTCGGAATGTTTAAATAAACAAACAGTTGATTATTTGGTTTTCGATTATTAATTTCGTAAATACAGTCTAATGGAAATTAAAGAATCACATCAAGAGAGTAGTAATCAAAGTTTTGCAAACCATTCCGGCGGTATACCAATTTTTATATTTAATAGCATTTGAGCATATGTTTTACCCTGTCCGTCAATATGCAAAGAACTTAACCCTCCACCTCCTATTAAAAAAAAAAAAGGTTACTCGAATCAAAGTCATAAACATATAATGCTACAGACATATATTCAAGGTTATTTACCTAAGCATCTGGTTAAGACAAAGTTCAATCCATTAATACCGGGCACCTCATACCTTTTTACCATGCCTTTGCACAAATGTGACATATATTCTTTGACAGTCTATATAAATGGTTCGCATAAAAAATATTAATCAGTGGGTTTACCCGAAATGTCAATTTAAGATATACTGACTTCTTCTGTTAGGGTTCTTTTTATGTACGGAAGATACTTGGGCTCCCGAGCAATGATTCCTAAACCATTCATGAACGTCCAAATGGTTAGTGTGTCCGTGTAATTTTACCAAAAAAATTTATATGCCACTTACCAATATTACAGGTGTCTCCTTTATCCCCACTTCGACCCCATGCTAATCTTATTAATGGTACTTTTATTAACGTATCATTTCCGACATTTTCCTCGTCCCCTTTATTGTACCGAATTTGTGGTAATGGTGGGGGTATCTCACTTTCATCGTGATTAGGGATGTTGAACGGTATGGTCAAGGAGTGATTCTTTCCCACCGTGACAACCGATGGAACATTGCCCTTTGGAACAAGACACGAGAAATGTACAAGAAGCGGAGAGGGGCGAGGTCGACCCATTCCACCTCCTACGCATACAGATTACCTAATATGACCACATAATTATATAAGGGCAAGTTTAATTGATCATTACCAGTTATTCCCGGTGCCATACACGTAGCGGCCTATAAAAATTATATTAGACTTGGGAAAAAGAAAAGAAAAGAAACTAATCGATTTCAGGCATACAGGAGAAAGCTCCATTGAAAAGTGTTTCAGCGCACGTGCGTCATCATGATGGACCGTTATATTCAGGACAACTTCGCGTGTATCACGAGTTCTGGCATGGGGCCTGACAATTTTTTAGAGATGAGCTAATGTTGAATCCCCCAAAATCTCTGTAGAACGACCGATCATACCCATAAGTATGTTCGGCTCCCAATATTTCGACATTAACATCACGGAAATCCGCCATTTCAAGTCTTCTTAGTAAGGAGCGCACTCGTAAAATAATCGCGCTTCCTACGGCAGCTGCCTAAATTGTGTGAACGGTTAACATGCAATACGCGAATTTCTAATTTATCAACGCGTTACCTTTTTCCGCGCGTCAATTCCTCCAATGACCAAAGATCTCGTCATCTTATAGCCGTCTGCATAGATTCCAGAGACCTTTAAGAATTTCGTTGGGGGTCTTCCTTTCACTCCCATAACCAACACTTTATTTTCACTTAATTGTTTCAATTTTACATTTCTCATGTCTAAAATTACATCAGGTAGTATATAGGAGCCTGGATCCATTATCTCATATAACATTTGTTCACCGACTGTTGCCGGCGTCACAAGTCCACCGGTCTCTTTTGGTTTTGTCACTACAAAGTTACCATCTGGGAAACATTCCGCGATAGGATAACCCATATTGGACCATCCTCCATTGGGGGTAAAGACGATCTGCTCCCAATCTGTGAAATTTCCTCCAGTAGCTTGACAACCGCATTCTAAAATGTGCCCAGCTAACGATCCAGATGCTAGTCTATCCCAATCACTATAAGGATTCCACCCAAATTCATAAATCAAGGGACCCAGAACCAAAGCACTGTCCACACATCTGCCGGTGACCACTATAGTAGCGCCTGTGTTCAATGCTTGTGCAATTGGGACAGCTCCAAGATATGCATTGAGTGAAATGATCTCTTTTTTGTCATCGGGGTAAGATTCTGCATCTTCTTTATTACCGTGGATATGACTAAATTCACGAAAATTATCCTTTTCCACATTTCTTTGATTCATGATGTCATCACCCGTAATCGCAGCGACGACGATTTTTCCTTCTTCGATATTTTTTTCTTTTATAATTTTCTCAATTGCCAACTTGCATGCCAAGGGATCCAATCCTCCAGCGTTTGTAACGATCTTAATATTGTGCTTAACAATATCTTGCAAAAGTCCCTGGAGAACTAAGGTTATAAATTCAGCAACGTAACCACCTTCGCCCGCACCCCCCAAGTCTTTTCTCTCCTTAGATAATCTCGGGTTCCTGCGGCGAGCCAGAAGACCCATTGTCACCTCTATTTTTATGGTAAAAAAGAATGATATGTTATCACATTTCAAACAAAAAGAAGAAGAATGGAACGCACGGTTACCAGCAAGATAGTCAGCAACCAAATAATCCAACTTCGGGCCTTCTTCCTTAACCAATTGATACGCTGCAGACACCGAGTCACCCCAAAATGCACTATTGAAACGTTACAAAATTAACGGAGACACTTTATTTTTTGTTCATAGGCATTTGTTTTTTTTTTACCCATAACATCCTATGCGAACACATTTTCCCTTCATATTTTTAGTTCTCTTGATAAGAAACCGAGAATTCTTTGGCAAAGCACATGACTTGTTTCATTATGTATCGGTCGTGCGACTAAAAAATTCACGTGAATCTTGTTTTCCTATTTAAAACTCGGGTGGTTCTTTGCTGCAAGTCATTTTCTCTCTTTGCGATTTAAAGGGTATTCAGGAATAATAGTATTTTATCGTCAGATTGCTACATCGTATATTTGAAAAGTAGGAAAGCAATTGCACAGATTATTGATCTTTAAAGAATACACAAAACATGAACGGTGACCCTCAAATCGGTACAAGTCGAGCAAATTCTCTACAAATCCCTTCGGTTCTTATGGAAGGTAAGAAGACGATTTCATTTTATCATTCATTCATCTTATTTAACCTAATAATGTTTTTGTTATCGATAATAACCAAAGAAACTGTCGACTTATCACCAACACTAATGTCAGCGATTGACGATCTCTCGATTGGGAATTCCGAGGATGAAGAAGATTTCGATGAGGGAGGGAGTGTGCAGGTAGTTGACGAAAATGAGATGGACACATCAGAAAGTGGAGCCTCAAATTCGGTATTCCTTGATTTTCTTTTACGCGTGATTATGATAAATCGGTTTGACTTGTTGGCTTAATACCCTGCGCCTTTTCAGAGAAATAGGTACGAACGTCCTTACTTGACTGCCTCTCATAATAATGGATTCGGGAATTCAACCACGACGCTATCTCAACCGGTCGCCCCGGTAGAACGCGACGCGATAGTTGTCAACCAACCCACTGCTGCGATGATCACAAATTTTCGGCTAGGCAAAACTCGAGAACAAATGTCACGGGAAGAATTGGTTAATTTCGTCATAAAGTAATAAATATATGAGATATTATGATGATGGGCAGAATTAACACGCAAAATGTCACATTAAATAATTTATATTGAATCTTAAGCCCTGTTCCACAAGGTCAAAAGGTCCTCTGCAAGATAACTCGTAGTAAAGATGGATTCGGAAAACTTTACCCCCAGTATGAACTTTATATTGAGGAGACATTAGAAAATGGAGAAGAGATAACAACATTTCTTCTCTCGGCAAGGAAAAGGAAGAAGAGTAAGAGTTCACATTACGTCATCACAACAGATAGGCTTGACGTGCCCGCATCTGTCAAAAATATAGTTGGTAAAGTGAGGTGGGAGTTGTCCTCTCATAGTTTTGGAGATACAGGGTGGTCAAATATGCATTTTGTTCAACCATTATTCTGATGTTTAGGTCCAATTTCTTGGGAACAGCTTTTGTAATATATTCCAATGGTAAGAACCCTTTCAAGCGCGAACCTGAATTAGAAGACTTTCCTATTAGAGAGGAATTAGGGGCAGTTGTTTATGTACGTTTGTTACAGCATTGACTCCGTGAACTTTTTCATTCGTTATTCGGAGGGTTGAAGGATGATAGATAATAATCATTAATTTATTCATTTATTGTTGCAGGACCCAAATATTCTCGGATTTAAGGGACCGCGCAAAATGACTGTTTTGTTAATAGGAATGACCAGGTCGGGTCAAAGACCCGAATTTCGCCCGACCAAGGTGGAGAACGATTTCTTACGGACATTAATGATGACGAGATAACATGATCACAAATAGGCTGTTGATTATTTAACATTGTTTATTATATGATCTGTAGGACTCACAGACGTTAATTGGGAGGTTCAGAAATGGGGATCATCGAGATATCTTGGTTTTACATAATAAGTCACCACAGTGGAATGAAGGTAGTTTTCGATTGTACTTCACATTGTTTCTTAATCCGTTGAATGAATAATAAATCGGTCATACATTCGACATAGAAACACAATCATACGTTCTCAACTTCAATGGTCGTGTGACATTAGCGTCAGTAAAGAATTTCCAAATAGTGCATGACAACGACCGTAAGTATATATGCTAGATTTACTGGGATGTCAAAGGTGCAAGCTAGCATTATATATCTTATCATGATTAATCATATTCATTCGAACATATAGTGGATTATATTATAATGCAGTTTGGTCGTATCGAGGAAGATACATTTAACATGGACTTTATGTACCCAATGTGTCCCCTTCAGGCATTTGCTATTGCGTTAACAAGTTTTGATGCAAAGTTGGCATGTGAATGAGGGAGTTGATTGTGAAATCACATTTGATGGTAAGTTTAAAACTTTGTGAATCCCTCACTTTTGCTATCTATTAAACAGTCAGAGATCATTTACCTATTACTTGATTTATTCTTAAAGTGTCACTTCAAGTATTACGATAGTTCATTTACAATTAATTATTCAACAAGTATTACGGATAGTTCATTTACGATTAATTATTCAATGAACGTACATTCATTTTTCATTTTGGGATGAACAAAAATTACGAGACAGAAAAACTTGGGAAAGGAGTTTTATTCTAGAATATAGGTGAGCAGGTTTGGTAATCATTATATGACGGACCAGGTGTTCTGGTAATTCCAATTTCTAAGTTCGTCATGTACGTGGGACACATAAAATGGTTTATTTATTAATCATAAATTAATACATACATGAATATATTAATTTTGATGAAAATTGAATATTTTTCGACATACAGTATATACAGTATATTAAGGGAAGTTTAGGAATGTTTAGTGCTTTAAAATTTCCCAATGACTTTGAAGAAATAGGTAATCCCCTAATTTCATCCCAAATTCGATCATAGATTTAAATATGCAACCGTATTTATAGAAACATAAAGTAAAAATTGATTGCGAATTCTATTTCAAATATAGATTTTCAATGTTATGATAAGAGAAAAGGGACAATTTAAACAAGACGGATTATTTTTGAAGGCAGTACACAGTCACTCATTGTCTTGCTCTTGATCCAGTGCTGTAATTATTAATTTTGTTTAATGAAACCTAATATTCTTACTCAGTACAACGAATTGGCACGCGTGCCTCTCATACACGTCAATCGAAACTTAAAGCCTTTGACATTCGTTCAAACATTCTTTTTTTAATATATATTATTCGTCATTCGCTTGCCGATGTAAAACATTAAAAAGTCAAGTACAGCGTGTGTTCACCTCAGAGACTGATGGATTAATTACAAATTTGTAAAGTGGTTTTGAAGTAGGTTGCTGGGTGAATTATCTTTCCGTTATTTCTTCCGCTCGCCTCTTTTTTTTCCCTCTTTTCCACTCATCCGTGCAAATTCATGGACCCTCGATCCTCAAGAAAATAATCGAAAAATACTATATACATACATTTATTATTGATCATCACGAGATGTGGCTGTCCACTTTGCTTGAGAGTACTAATACCAATTCTTTATATTAAATCAAGTCTTTTACTTTGTTGGAAATGCTTTTGGTCAAAATTGTAAGATCAAATGTTTGTAGATTTGTTCGATGGTATTCCGCCAATGGGAATGGTGATTATGAGCATTCAATTACTTCGTTCCTCCTTTCGTCCGATTCCACTCTTAACCTTTCAAACCTTATCCTGCCTTTCCTTCATTAAACAAGTCACTTGTGGTTCATCCAATAGAGAAATCGCGGTAATCACGGGGGGAACCAGGGGAATAGGTTATGGGATTGCACAAAAGTTTGCGCAGAGTGGTGTGCGCTGTGTAATACTTGGTCGTAGTAAAGAGACAATTGAGGAAAGCCGAGTAAATTTAATGAATAAACAAAACGACAACGATATCGTTGACAAAATCCGAAATGATGAGGAAAAGGGGGTTCTTGAACATTTGGGGTTCGTTTGCAATGTAGGAAATCCAGAAGACGTTGAAAAAGTTTGCGAGGTTGGTCCGAGAATCACGAATTTACCCTTTGAAGATAGGTTTTTCATTTTTCAGGGATTAAATTTTTTTAAAGAAAATCAATTTGCTTCCTTCGAAAGGACATTGCAAAACTTGGAAATATCAATTATTTGATCAATGCCGCAGGTACAATGTCATATGCAGTTGGATTAGGTATATCATCTAATAAAACCAATAATGCTCTAGGAATAACATGCGACGGTCTCGCTGTAAAGTTAAGAAAACAAGATATTCTTGACACGATCCAAACGAATTTGCTTGGAACCATTTATATGTGTAGTAAAATTGCCAAACATATGATCAAACAAAAACAAGGTATATCATGAATTTCACTTTCTAATTTTGAATCTAGATGCACAGTGATGATGAATGTTTCTGATCAAAAATTTTGGATCAGGAGGTTGCATCATTAATATTTCAAGTGTGGTTGGCATACATGGAAATGTGGGTCAGTCTATATATGCTGCTTCGAAAGCTGGGATTATAGGTTAAAATGTTTTTTTCACATACACGGTCCACATTGTAAATTCATTGTTCAGTCACTCTATGACCTAACTCCTTGATTCCACAGGATTCTCAAAGTCATTGGCCAAAGAACTGGGGTCCAGAAATATTAGGGTCAATGTCATTGCTCCAGGTTACATTGAAACTGATATGACTGCAGGTGAAATTTGTCTATTTCGACTTCTTTATGAGCCAACAATCTTTTCCAATAAATTTTGAACCATCCAACCCAATAAGGAATTCCCGATGATAAAAGAAAAGAAATCAGATCGAATACAACTTTGAATAGATTCGGAAAACCCGAGGTATCTTGTTCTGTTACTATCAAAAGGATTAAAGGACCCGACAGAAACAACATTCTGACACCATTTAACACGGTAGGACGTAGCAATCGCTGCGCTATATCTTGCCAAAGCTCGGTTTGTAACTGGACAGGTTAGTCTGAATTTCTTTTATTGATGATGATGTGTTTGAGGATTTTCATTCATTTAACTTTGATTACTTACTAGACACTCATTGTGGATGGTGGGCTAAACATTTAAGTCCCAATCCATTTTCGCCTTAAAGTTTGTTCGAAATTTAACAGGAGAAAAAAAAAGTGTTTTTCTATCTGAAATAATTAAATATCAAAATAAAAAAAATTATTGTTCCAAATTTTACAAGTGTCTCTAATTCCTAACGCTTATCTGTCTATTTTGGAATTTTTCGACACATTAAAAATATTAAAAATGCAGCATATACTGTATAATGTACATTATAAACAATCGGATACAAGCCACGAGGACACAAATAGAATCACCAGTGCCCCAAATGTACTTTTGTAATTTACCGAAGCACCACTGTCCGAATGATCAGTTAAATGTTTGGAGTTTCCACCTGGCTTATTCTCACTGGTAAATTTGTTCTTAAACACCGTGCTGTTGAAGCTCACAGTGACATTGACCTTTTGATCAAGCGGTCCGGGATTTATTATCTGCAAACAATACCCATCGCTATCTTTGATTGAAATCGTTCCTGTATCTTGATCGCATTCTGTAACAATGTCACTGTAACATGATAACGATGGAATGAATCTCAATCCATCGGAATACACAACCCTTACTACGACACCCACTGTCGGGGCCGAAGGGATAGGGCTTGGTTGACCATAATTTGTGGTTCCATAATCCGGAGTCAACGGAGACGAATCGCTGACTACTTTTATACTATAACCTATGTATAGTCAAGACATCGTGGATGAGGTTATTAACGATCCATGAATATTCGTCATATATCTGGCGAGTGATACTTACTAACATAAGTTGTATTTCCTTGTGCACAAATTTGCCATGTTCCATTATTCGACGGCACTTGAACCGTGTTGTAAGGGTAGATAACCGGATCAGGATTAAAGGGGTCTGCTGTGATTGTTTGGACAGATGAAGTTGAAAAAGATGGAGACAACGTGCTCTCCGAGGTAGATAGGGATGAAAGTGTCGAACTTTCTGTCGTGAAGTTTTTAGTTGTTGATTGCCCAAAAACAAAAAGGATCTATTCATTTTATGAATGCGGAGGAATTACGGCGGATGACAACACTGAAATTAACAAGCAAAATATGTGAAGAAACTATTCACCTGTGATATAATTAACACACCAATAATTAATTTTCTTTTCATAATTCTTTATCAAAAAGAACAGAACCGAGGTGATAAAAAATATATAATTTAATTACGAAATATACTTGATAAATAGCATTAGCGTAAGCAAACTTTTTCGAAAAACTGAAAAAAAACTTTTTTTTTTTCTAGTTTATATGCACATTGCGCAAGGAGACCAATTTTGCTTGTGCGACGGTGATGGTGTTTCTTTTTAACGGAAGGAAAATTATTCTATCTAGCTTCGAAAGGAGAGCAATTTCATTCTCAACTTCCTCGTATTGGCGATAATTGCTGGTAACTTAATTTTGATAGAGACTTTATTGGTATTTAAATTTTCATCGGTACAACAAATATAAGTTCACAGCTCACGTGTTATAATGTATAAAATGTAACGAAAATAGCATTGATGGTCAAAACACTTTGTGTTTTTCATACATAATGTGTCGTTCTCAAATTCGGACAGACTCATTACACTGTGAATCCGAGTTTTACAATCTCTAAAACCAAAACATTTCGAGGCTAAGCAACGGGCATACTGCGCATTTATACACCTAGCATTCTTGTGCCATACTGAATTATTAGATCGTGATTAAAATTTCCGTTTTTAAAATCAATTAATAGAATTCCTTTATAAGTTAAGAGAAATGAAGGCTATACTATACAGGTGCTTGATATAACCCGAATACATAATTCACGTGAACTGTATATGCGTGAAGGAGACAAATTTTACTTATTTATTATTATTTTGTTATATTGTTATTGGCGCATTTCTTCTTTTATTATTATCATTTATTATCATTTATTATTTTATTCTCGGTTTTATCTTTCTATAATAATAATAATAATATCAATAGCATTATTACCATATTTTTATTTCTTTTTTAATTTAATTATCAATCACCATCATTTTTTAAAAGTTTATTATAATGTGACTTTAACAAGATTTTTAAAATAACCTGTAATCCGAAAAGCGAACACCCGTATATTTAGATTATTGGTTTTTTTTTTTTTATAAGTTTTTTGTCATAGTCACCTTGTGTAATGCAGCATGCACAGTATATATCATCTTTAATTTGTAGATTTTCAAAGTTTTTTTTAAAGAAAATGATTTTATAAATAATTGGTTTATCTTATATATATAATTTTGATTAAAGAATCTTATTAATTTTTTTTTAAAAAAATTTTTTAATAAAATTTTAATACTGTATTTTAATACTGTATTTGAAAAATCTTTATCAAGTAATCCAATTTCATTTTTTGTAAATTGTACAATTTTTTTTTTAAAAATCATGTTTTTTGTTTTATTAGTTTTTTTAATTATCAAGATTTGTTTTTAATCTTTAATGTAATATAATCTTTTTAAAACATATCTTAATATATTATAAAATAATGAATTTATAATTTTTTTTTGAATCAGATTGTATATATATTATTTAAAGATTTAAAGATTAAAATTAATTAAAAAGTTATATTGTTATTAAAATAATATTTAAAATTAAAAAATACTTGAACTATTTTTTTTAATTATAAAAAAATAATTATGTATTAAATATTTTTATATTTGTTAAAAAAGTTTCTTAAGTAATAATTAAAAAATTGTTATATAATTTTTTTGTGATTTTTTTATTAGTAAAAAAATTTTTTTATTTAAATAATTTATAATAAATAAATTTTTACAAATAAATTAATTTTTAAAAATTATAACAATATTTTATAATATTTTTATATAAATCAAACTATTCTTTTAATTCTCATAACCAATATTTTTTATAATAAAATTTTATTTTTAATTTATTTTTAAATACAATTTTTGTTTTTATAAAAAATTTTTATAAACTTTAAATAAAATTTCTAAAATAAACTTATTGTTTTTTTTTTCTGTAATACTAATGAGATCTTACTATTTAATTTATTATATTTCAAGTTAATAAATTGTTTGTTTTACAAATTTAATTGTAACTCATATATATTTTTAGAAAGTAAAAGTTAAATGGTTCAGTATTATTTTCATAAATCTTGTGATCTTCTATATCCTTAAAAGGATACTAATGTATTAAGACTCCATTAGCACTTATTAGTTAAGTATAATTATTGTCTACTTTATTTCTAAATTGAAAAAATTAAGGAAAAATAAAAAAGGAAACTGAAATGATGTCTTATTTTATGACAAATAAAATAATTATAAAAATTTTATTTGTTTTTATTGAGAATTATCTTTCTTTGCTATCACCTGCAATTAGACTAACCATTTGATTTCTTATTGGCCTAAATATTGCCTAAGAATATTCAAGATAAACTTATAATTGATTTTTATTACTTGAACTATAACTTATTTTATATATAAAACAGGTTTTATACCAAATATCTTCTTGGAATAAGCACTATCAAACTGGTTTATTATTGAATTGAAATAAGATCTAAGTAGAATTTGTAAAAAAAAATATTGAATATTAGAAAATGATTATAAAATCTGCTTATTAAAAATAAATATCTCATATACCTTATAACTTCTAGCAATTATTGTAACAATAATTGAACTAAGAATTCTAATGATTCTCTTCGATTTTATATTTGATTTTTAAATTTATATTAAATTTAATAGATAGAATATACTTCATTATCATTTTTAATAATGTTTCAAACCTCATGTAATTTCTTGTAATTCTGTTTAATTCTAATTTTTAGAATTATAAACTGGACAATTGTTATGTCATAATATCTTTTCTGGAAATTACAATCTCAACACTCACTAAATTAGCATATAAAACAGTTTCTTATAAGAAATAGCACTTTTATAAGTTATGGTATCAAATATTATATTAATTTTATTCAATCACCCTTATATGAGATTGAATTGATATTTTGTAATTTAACTTATAAAGTATTAACTATTATATTATAAATTTACAGGTCTTCTAAAATAAACTTATCAAGAAATTTTTTTAATAGAGATCTCCAAAGATCTTTATTCAAAAAAAATTTTTTTAAATAATAGACTTCAGAAATTTTTATTTCAAAAAAATTTAAAAATCTTTGAAATAATAATAATTATATTAAAATAAATATTTATTACTTTTA